CGGTGCTGGGATTGGAGTCAGGCTAACTTGGCTCTAAGGTCCATATTGAATAGAAACCTTCTCCAGGATTCCCTAGCAGACACACATACCCATGCCGTTTCAGGTCCACTCTCAGGTTGCTTCTGCTGGGGACTTATGTGCCTGAGGGCAGAAACTCATAATCATTTGAGGACCCACGAGGTGGTGCAGTCCAGCATGAACATTTCAAACTCCAGCATGACATTTCAAACCATATAGGGTAGCCCTATGTGTCTCAGCTGAATAAGAACAAGTATGCATGACTATCCCAACTCCCCGCTCCCTGAATGAAGCAGGGCCTCCTGGCATCACTGGATGTTTGCGACACTATCCCAGGTTGCACGTGCAGCAGCCAACACCAGGGTTTTCCAGTGGCTGAAGTGCAACACACAGTTAATGTCATTGCCTTTTCCTTCCTTCCTTGGGATCAGAGGAATAAATGTCTCTTACATAGAACTGTTCTGCACAGACTTAGAGTGACAGAGGGGTAACTTAACCTATTAAAGGCTATTTTGAGCAAAAGCCACCTTGTGTCTCTGAAGCTGTAGAACTGAGCCACAGAAGGAAACTGTTAAAAGTCGCAGGGTCAAGGACTAGGTACCTATGTTATCCTGACAGCACAGAAGCACAGCCTGAGTCTCTTCTTTGGCTGAGCCAAGGGTGTGCTGGAGAGGCCTGAGAGAAACAGGAGTGGCCCTTGTGACCAGTGCCCTTTTGGTTCAGAAGGAACGTCTCCTCTTGTTTAAGTGACTTGGCTGAGCTTGCTACTTCTGCTTTGAGAGTCAAATATCAGGATCAAGACTTTCATTATCCCCAATTTACAGATAATGAAGCCATATTGTGCAGGAAAGAAAGTCACCCCAGGAGAGCAAGTTGGACCTGGGCACTGGCTGAGGACACGGGGGAATGATCATTCAGGATGTAGCTTGTTAAGGGGCTTCCCAAGTGTTCTTGTGATCCAGGTGTTGAGAGGATAGAGCAGAAAGGTTGCCAGCGAGACGAGGGTGGGGTGCACTGCAAGAGTGAGAGAAATTTAAAGAGAACACATAACAAAGCCTTGGGACACCGGGAGGGGGGTGGACCACTCTGGTTTGTGCTGCGGGAGAAGAGAGCAAGAAAAGGAATCTGTGTTCAATCCCGACAGCCTGCAGGAGAAGCAAATGCCCTTCATTTTGTTCATCCGCAGTGAGACTGGCATCCCTGTAGCTTTGGGAAACCAGGCTAGTGTGGATGCCAGCTCACTCCAGTGGCCTGATGACTGGGAGACCATGGGCTGGGGCTCTGGTCTGGGCTCCTAGGCCTGATGGGAGGAGAGTTCAGCCCCAGGTTTCCTGTACTTCAGCTCGTATCCAGACGATGGGAATTGTTGGAATGAGAGACTCAAAGGAAGCTGGAACCTGAACTTTTTTGTTGTCCCATGTGGACACCTGTGTTCAGTTTCTAGTTCTACCTCTTGCTGTCTGTGTGTTCTTATGTAACTCACTTAAACCTTTCTGAGTCTCATTTTCTTCACTTATAAAATAAAAGATATAACTTTTATGTTAGATATTGTCCTGAGGATGAAACGGGAGAATGAGGAGCCTCTTCTGCATTCCCCTGGCATCCAGTGGGTGGAGGCCAGAGAAGCTGCTAAACATCCATCCTGCCAGGCGCAGGACAGCCCCCGTCACAAAGAGTTGTCTGGCCCCCAATGTCAGTAAGGCAGTATTGAGGAATTCTGGTGTGGGGAAAAGAGAGTAAACTCAGAAGTTTGGCAGATCTCAATTCAGATACTGGTTGTACCACCTCTAGCTGAGTGACCTTAGGCAGGTCTGTGAACTCTCTGAGACTTGGCCTTTTCATCTGTAAAAAGAGGGAGATAAAACTACCAAGCTCACCCAGAAATAACCCCATGCATATATGGTCAGCTAATCTTTGACAAGGTCATCAAGGATACACAATGCAGATTCTTTTATTCCTTTACTTTCATAGTAGACTTGCTTTCACTTTACTCTTAAAAAAAAAGAATGCACAATGTAGAAAGGAAACTCTCTTCAATGAATGCTGTTGGGGAAAGTGCCTGCAAAAGAATGAAATTGCACACTTGTTTTCCATCATATACAAAAAAATAGCTCAAAATGGATTAAAGATTTAAATGTAATATCTGAAACCACATAACTCCTAGAAGGAAACATAGGGAAAAAATCTTGACATTGATCTTGGCAATAATTTTTTTTGCCATAACACCAAAGCACAGGCAACAAAAGCAAAAATAAATAAATGGGACTACATCAAACTTAAAATGTTTTACATAGCAAAGGAAACAATGACCACATGAAAAGGCAACCTATAGAATGGAAGAAAATATTTGCAACCCATATATTTGATAAGGGGTTAATTGAAAATATATAAGAAATTCGCACCACTCAGTAGCAAAAATTAATAAATACATAAATAACCCAATTAAAAATAGGCAGTGGACCTGAATGGACTTTTTTTTCCCCCAAGGAAGACATACAAATGGCCGGCCAGTATATGAAAATGTGCTCAACGTCACTAATCATCAGAGAAATGCAAATCAAAACCACAGTGAGATATTGCCACATAGGATAGGATGGCTATTCTAAAAAATGACAAGAGATAACAAGTGTTGGTGAAAGTGTGGAGAAAAGAGAACCCTTGTACACTGTTGGTTGGAATGTTAAGTGATATAACCTTTATGGAAAGCAGTATGGAAGTTCCTCAAAAAATTAGAAACAAAGCTACCATACGATTCAGCAACCCCACTTCAGGGTGTATACTCCCCAGAATGGAATTAGAATCTTGAAGAGAGATCTGCTCCCCATGCTTGTTGCAGCATTATTCACAATAGCCAAGATATGGAAACATCCTAAGTGTCCATCAACAGATTGAATGGAATGGATAAATTATACACACACACACACACACACACACACACACACACACACACACCATGGACTATTAGCCATTAAAAAGAAGAAACTCCTGTCATGGATAAACCTGGAGGACATTATGCTAAGTGAAATAAGCCAGACACAGAAAGACAAGTTTTATATGATCTCACTTATATGTAGAATCTAAGAGAGTCAAACTCATAAAAACAGATAGTAGAATGGTGGTTGCCAAGGGCTGGAGGCAGGGAAAATGGGAAGCTATTAATCAAAGGGTATAAACTTTCAGTTATAAGATGAACCAATTCTGGAGATTTAATGTACAGCATAGGTGGTAATGGATGTAATAAATTTGTGGTAATTAGTACACAATATATACATATATGAAATCATCAGGTTGTATGCATTAAATATATACAATCCTTGTCGACCAAATTTTGTTTTTAATTTAAATGCCTAAGTCATAAGAATTCTGAGAATTAAATACAATAACATACATGAATGGGCCTGCTACACAGAAGGTGCTAAATAGATTTGTTTTGTTTTATTTTATTTCAACTCTGGCAGATGTAGACTTATTGGGAAAGAATGTAGAATACACTTGTGCACAAAGCATTATCTGTATGATGACTCAATATCCTGTATACATGTGATGTCATTTCTATTCCTCATTCAATGGATAATAAAAGCAGAACCAGCCTTCTGATGGTCACAAAACATTTTGACATGAGAAAGGCTCATGATGAGCAATTTGGCAATGTACATCCCAGAGCATGCACATCCTTTGACCCACAGCTACCATGATGTCATGTCTAGCAATTAGTCCTAAGGAGATCATCAGAGATGTGTAAAGAGATTTCATTCTAACAGCATCCTTTGTGGTGGTACATGTCAGGGGCTGGCAGACCATGTCCAGAGGAGCAGGCTGCATCTAGTCCACCACCTGTTTTTGTGAAGTTTATCAGAACACAGTCATGCCCATTCATTTACAAATTGTGTATGGCTTCTTTCGCTGCAACTGCAGAGTTGAATGTTGCAACAGAATCCTATGGCCTGCAGAGTTTAAAATATCTACTCCTTGGCGTTTTTTTTTTGTTTGTTTGTTTGTTTGTTTGTTTTAGATGCAGTCTTGCTCTGTCACCCAGGCTGGAGTGCAGTGGTGTGATCCCGGCTCACTGCAACCTCTGCGTCCTGGGCTCATGCCATTCTCCTGCCTCAGCCTCCCGAGTAGGTGGGACTACAGGCATCTATCACTACACCCGGCTAATTTTTTGTATTTTTAGTAGAGAAGGTTTCACCATGTTAGCCAGGATGGTCTGAATCTCCTGACCTCCTGATCTGCCTGCCTTGGCCTCCCAAAATGCTGGGATTACAGGTATGAGTTACTGCACCCGGCCTAGTCTTTGGGCTTTTATGGAAAAAAGTTGCTGACTCCTGGTGAGTATATTAAGAAAAAGTTAGAAAAACCTAAATCTTTAAGAGTAGAGAATTAGAAAGTAAGACGTGTTATATAAAACAGACAGTGTGTGTGTGCATTTATTTGTAAATATATTGTTTGGAAGTAATGTCAACATCTGCTGCAGGTCTTAAAAATTGTTCAATATATAGTGTTAATCAACAAACAGGCAAATTATAAAATGTAGACAGAATGTGATTGTGCATTTTGTGCATCCACCAACAGAAAAGGGTGCAGGGAAGCCTGTGGACCCACATGCTAAGTGCGGCTCTTTTGACGGTGGTGTTATGGATTTTTACAAATCTTGGTTTTGTGAAGATTCTGACTTTCCTATAATGAGTGTGAATAAATACATATTTCTTTCAAAATGTAAAAATGACTTTGTCTTCCCAGATTTCTCATAATTGAAAATGTTGGAACAAATGTCCTGGGACAGATCTTTCCATTGAGAAGGGCAGAGGAGGGGATTCAGCTGGGTTTCTGTTGCATTTCTAGTAACACACAGTTGTGAAAGGCCAGTGTTGGCCGTTCCCCAGGACAGACTGGGGTAGAGGAGGTCAGGACTTAACTACTTGAGGGATCGGGGAACAGATGTGGCCACAGGCCTTCCTGACTCACTGTTTTCCCTTCCACAGCCCCCGTCTTCTCTTCACTGATGCACATAGATGCCTGACCAGAGGAGAGAGTTCGTTTTCATCCCAGGATTATCTCTTATGCTGCAGTTCTGAAATTCCCATAATGTTTAAACTAGAACACAATTCATTTCATTATCTCCAATGTGTATGACTTGACAGAAATATATTCCGTTATGTAGTACCTTAAATCCAGATAAAACATAAGGAACTTTTATTCCATATTTGTATGATCAATGTTAATAATATAAAAAGTCTAAAAAGTAGCTATTTCCTATATTACAGTATGAAAGAAATATGTTGACTGATTTGTTTTGGGGGTGGGAAGGTGTAAGGCTGAGGAGGGGCCTGTGGAGAACAGTGACAGGAGTCCTTTCTTAAGGGTTGGGTTTTATATATGTCTTTTAAAATAGATGATATCATTAATAAATTATATGTGGTCATCATGCAAAAAGTTTATAATATACAACTTTATGAGCCTGACAGTTGGTTAAACAATTTTCTGTTTAAAATTTTATTTGATCCCCCCCAAAAAAGAAATGTTTGCTTATGAGTATTAGGGTAGTTCTAGTAGTAACGCCTCAAAAGAACCAGGAGGTACAATGTTGTCTAAAACGTGGACTCAGGAGCCAGACTGCCTGGCTGTGCAACCGCCTTGTCATTTCCTAGATATGGGGCAAGTTAATTAACTTCTCAGTGTTCTTATCTGTAGAAGGGGGATAATCATAATATATATCTCAGGGTTATATTAAAAATTGAAAAAGTTAATTTTGTAAAGCACTTAGAATAATACCTGGCAAATAAATGTGTTTATAAAAGTACACCCTATAAAAGTGTTTACTCATTACATACAATAATCTGAAACCATTAGTGATTTAAACATTTGTGGCTGACTAGGTACTATTTATGAAAATAGTGTATTTATAATCTTTGACCTTATTTTACTTATTTTACAATAAATAGGAGTTTATTGTATAGTAAACATTTTCACAGGGAGACAAAAATATTACTATAAAATCATATTTATTACATCTATCTGTGCAAAAGGAAAAAACATTAGGCAAATAAAATGACCAACAAAAGTGGTATTGGTTCAATGAATTATAGTAAGTCCGCTCATTAGTAATCATATAATCCAAAAAAATGAGACATATTTATGTGATATGGGAAGATCCACAACTAATGTTAAATGGTAAAAGATATAAAATGTTATGCCCAATAAAATACTTTCTGTGAGAGAATATGTGTTAATTTATGCAAGTGTGCCTATGTAGAGGATTTGTGCTAATTTCATTATACCTCACAGGCAGACCTGGGCTCTCCCACTCATTATCCATGTGGCCTAGGGTAAGTCATTTAACTGCTGTAAGCCTCAGCTTCTTCATCTGTCAGGCAGTGATACCCTGACTACCTGCAGGGTAACTCTGAGATTTAAACATGATAATCTCAGAATATGCCTGGCAAACAATAGGAGCTCAGAACTTGATGTTTTTTCCTACAGTAAGTGCATGTCTTTTGGGGACAGCCCTTAATGCATGAGGTTGGTAAATCCTTATATACATCAAATATTGTTGAAACATAAGTACATGCTACTATTCTTTCAAACCTCTTTGTTGTTTTTTTTTTCTTTTTCTGAGACAGAGTCTCACTCTGTTGCCCAGGCTGGAGTGCAGTGGCACAATTTCTGCTCAGCTCACTGCACCCTCCGACTCCCAGTTCAAGTGATTCCTGTGCCTCAGCCTCCCAAGTAGCTGGGATTACAGCCATGTGCCACCACGCCCAGCTATTTTTTTTATTTTTTATTTTTTTTGTATTTTTAATAGAGATGGGGTTTCGCCATGTTGGCCAAGCTGGTCTCCAGCTCCTGGCCTCAAGTGATCCACCTGTCTCAGCCTCCCAAAGTGCTGGGTCAAACCTCTTATATCCAGTAAAACAGCCTCACTGGGTCAATGGATATCCTGTGGCTGCCTACCATTTTTACATTATAAAAGGTCCTCATGAGGCCATTCGAAAGTATGAATCAAAACACTTTAAGATGAACAGGACCATAGGTTTGCATGAGGCCTGTCAGTGGACCTCCAGGATGAAGACCAAAGTAATTGCAATTTCACGTTTCCTGTGAAATTGCTGGCCATGTTCACACATGAAACAGAACAATGACAACCAGGAATAGCTGCCCCCGGTCATATGCCCTCATGAGCCCAGCTTCACAGGACGGGGCCACTAGGCCCTGCTTAGGGGAAAGGAAGGGGGTTTGTAGAGGAAGCCCAGCCAGCCAACCAGAGATGGGAAAAACCCATTGGGAAGAACTTGCTTGCTCTAGCTGGACTTTGCAAAGAACAGGAAAAGATGAGTCTGGACAGACAGAAATGGGCCCGAGTGGGAGCCTGGCCGAGAGCTTGACTCAGGGTGTGGTCAGTAGCTGCCACACCAGAACACAAGATATGCAAAGATGCTGGGTGTTTGGTTCTTAAAGATTTTGTGCCTTGAGAAAACTAAAGGATGCAGACATGGGCAGAAGGTGGCTCTTTAAAAGTGCTTCAGGCAAGGAGGCATTATGGCATGGTGGAAAGTGGTCTGGTTTTTCAGTTGAAGAGACCAGCCTTGCCATTTATTTTTTAACAGATCACTTCACCTTCTGGGCCCTAATTTTCATGTCTGCACAATGAGTATAACATTATAACTAAGATGTAACAGGAAATGAAAGCACAAGTGTAAGATCGCCCCATACTTTCACCTCATCCACTCTAACCAGGGCTGACATGGATGATTTTACAGGTTGTGCACTGAACAACTAAGTCTGATGGCCAGGATGAGTGGGACCATCATCCATCTCCAGTGTCATTTCTGAAGTGCCACACCCTGGCAATGCCTGCACCTAGAGGAAGGGGCACTTTTCCTAAATAGGATAAAGGTGCTGTCTGATTACCTGTGGGACTCTGTCTACTGGAAGGGGGCCTTTTTCTAATTCTCACAGAAGTCTCATTTAAGATAATGGTGGTCTTCATCCAGTCTGCCATGACTTTCTGCATTCAAATGCAGACTGTTTACACACACATTTCTCACCCTCTATAGAGCTGAGGCTATGGTTTTCCCTCTCTGGAACCAACTACTCTTTAGTACAAACTGGAGACAACTGTAGGCATGAGAACCTAATGGGACTCTGTTTATTCTGGGAATAGGGTAGAGATGAATCCTGCCTGGGATGTGGGAAAGGAAGAAAGCCTTTGACTCATCCCTTCAAGAGAAGGGGCTTTTGGCAATCTGGGGTCTTTATCTTTTCTGAGTTCCTGACTGACACTGATGTTTTAAAGGCTAACACAATTTGGAAGTCCCAACTCCCAGGCTGACCATTAACTCCAGCCCGTGCTACAAGCACCCCAGGAAGCCAGGGTTGGAACCCAGAGCCAGAGGGAGGGGTGGCTCACAGGAGTCAGTTTCCTAAGCCTGGTGCATATCAGGCAGAATCAGACAATGCCTGTCCTCAGTGTCCTGGAACTGGGCTGCCTGGAGGTGAAGAATCATACACAGGAAGGAGCCCCTGAGAAATGCCCCCAGGCTAGGAGGAGAAACCCACATGACTATTGTAGAAAGTGTGGATTTTGGTGTAGAATTTGTACTCATTGATGATTTGAGCACTTTTCATCACCATGGTGGGCCGACGTGCCCCAGCCCCCAGATATTGCTCCAGACAACGAGTCTTGCAGCCCCCAGTGACTATTTTCCCTCTTCAGCTGCACTACTTGGGAGGCTGGCTCTGTTAGGAAGATGTGGGCAACCCTACTCCCCCGCCCCAGGATTGAACCAGGACCAAGCTGTATCCAGGAAAGCCGCTGTGGCCAGCCTGAGCATAAGAGAGACTGAGACTCCCTGCCCAGTGGAAATACACTGTACTGCAAGATGCCAAAACAAGCCACTTGAATCCTCTTTCAGGAAGTCAAAAGTACAGTGAGGCATGAGAAGAAGGATCTCCAGCTCCAATTTGTTCTCCCTCTTGTGGCTGAACGCACTGTTACCAGATACTTATCAAACCATTTGCATATGGTACAAGCCCATGTGGGATAAATGAGAGCTCTGTCAACTTCTACCCATCTTCTGTCCTCTCCTGACAATGCATTTCCATCACTAATGGTGGCTCCTGGGTTTTACTTTCTTCTGTGCACAAAGAAAACAACTGGTGGCACTTGTATGTAGAGAATTCCAGAGGCAGGAAACTCAACCTATTTTTGGACAGTGCACAGCAAAATGTAGTTCAGCCAACCTGGATTGCAAGCCACCTGGAGCAACATGGCCTTAGACAAGTCACATGACTGCTGGGAGCAACTCTCCAAAAGAGAGTGGTGAAGATACCTACTTCAACAGAAGGTTAAATAGAATAACATGTGTGACTGGGCAGAGCACACAGAAGGCACCACATATGTGTTTTTTAGACCCTTTCCCAAATCTAGGAGATGCAACTTAGCAATGAAATGCCTTAAAACCTAAAAAAAAAGTGATAAAAATACATTCATGGTCATGGAAAAAATATAATTAGGTAAAAAAAGGGAGATTATAAATGTATGTAAAATGTAAGATAGTAACTAGTTTGCATACACTCAAATAAAAGTTATGTAAGGATATGCACCGACTGATTTACTATGGCTAATTCTTCTAGGTTCTAGGAACCCTGACAGGTTTCTGTTGCACTTCCCAGCGACATGACTCCTAATCCCCTAAGCCCCTAAACCTCCCTCTTTTCTGCTCACAGAGAACTGATAAGAGGAGAGACTCAGCTCAAAAGTGTTAAGTGAATGAAATCATTTCTTAAAATATTGGGCTTATTGTTTCCTTTTTTAAAAAAATAAAACAAATGATTATAAACTTTTTGCTGGAAAAATAATAAAACCTTGTTTAAAAATGGAGAATGTTAATGTTAATGAGATATTTTCTCCCTTAAAATCTCATCTGATACTCTCATCAAATAAGATTTATTTTTTAGGATTTGAGTAATTCTGGGAATAAAGCCTTAATAAATCAGGAAGGACAATGTGGTCCTCAAGTGGCTGGGTGCTGCAGACGCTGGTTTCCAAACCAGCTCCTTACTGTCTAACTTCTGCCAAGTTACTTTGCCTCTCTGAGCCACAGTCTTCTCATGTATAAAACAGAGTCATTAAAGTTCTCACTTCAGGATGTCATGAAGATTCAAGGTCCAGGAACAGTACCTAGCACAGCACAAGCATGATGTAAGTATTTGCTAAGTGAATGAATAAAAATTTGATTATCTTTTATTATGCTGCCTGATTTGGTAGTATATGTTAATTTCAGGGGAACCAGCCCCCAATATTTCAACGTAGGTTCTTTTCTATTTTCCCTAAGTGTAGGCCAGTCTGAGAAATAAAGAGAAAGAGTACAAAAGAAAGACATTTTACAGCTGGGTCTCCGGGGGTGACATCACATGTCGGCAGGTTCCATCATGCCCACGAGTCAAAAAATCAGCAAATTTTATTAGCAATTTTCAAAGGGGAGGGAGTGTACGAATAGGGTGTGGGTCACAGAGATCACATGCTTCAAAGACAATAAAATATCACAAGGCAAATGGGGGCAGAGCATGTTCACAAGGCCAGGGCAAAATTAGAATTGCTGATGAGGTTTCATGTCCCACTGTGCATGCATTGTCATTGATGAACATCTTAACAGGAAACAGGGTTCAAGAGCAGACAACTGGTCTGACTAGAATTCGCCAGGCTGGAATTTCCTAATCCTAGCAAGCCTGGGGGCACTGCAGGAGACCAGGGCGTATTTCATCCCTTATCTACAACTGCAGAAGACAGATACTCTCAGAGCGGCTATTTTAGACCCTCCCCCTGGGAATGCATTCTTTTCCCAGGGCTGTTCCTTGCTGAGAAAAATAATTCAGTGATATTTCTCCTACTTGCTTTTGCAAGAAGAGAAATATGACTCTGTTCTGCCCAGCCCCGTAGGCAGTCAGGCCTTATGATTATCTCCCTTGTTCCCTGAAAATCACTGTTTTTTTGGGATGCCCAGATTTCATATTGTTCAAACAGACATGTTTTACAAACAATTTGTACAGATAATGCAATCATCACATGATCCTGAGGCAACATACATCCTGAGCTTACGAAGATGATGGGATTAAGAGATTAAAGACTGGCATAGGAAATTATATGAGTATTGATTGGGGAAGTGGTAAATGTCCATGAAATCTTCACAATTTATGTTCAGAGTAAAGACAGGTGTAAGA